ACGTGGTTTTAAAAAAAGTTTAGATGGAAAATTTCTAAAGAATGAAACAACACTATTATATATTAAGATGAATAATTATTACCATTTTTAATTTCAATGTATTGGACATCTTTTTAATCTCCAAAAACCCCAAACTCTATTAAACAGTTTTATATTTTTTGAATGCAAATCCTTACATTAGTTATTTATTATGAAAAGCTTTCAAATAAATTCTTAACATTTTTAAATGCGTAATGTATAACATGTATGTTGAATTCATCATATCTCATGACAGAATTATGCAGTGGCAAAATTACTTGTACTATCAAGAAAATAAACAAAAAATACAATAATTATCACCTTTCCCATCAAAGTTTCAAAGGTAAGACTCCATATTCAGAAATTAGTAACAATACCTTTAGTTTCCATCTGGTAAGTAGATGGATTAATGAATTTGGCACTTGCTCCTTTCTCAGCATACTCACTTCGAAATCAGTAGCTAACTTTCCCTAAGTTAAAGCAGTTATATAAGGGTTTCACTGGCTAACTGGACTACAGAATACCCTAAGCTGAAGTTTGAACTGAGTGTCAAAAGATTCCAGAAAGGCAAGGTCCATGTCCTCAAGCTGATTATTTTCAAGCAAACTGTAGAATCACAAAAAAAGCTTGATCCTAGAGTAGAGAACAGGTTATGAGGCCAAAGTCAAGCATAATTTCCCCACAGTTTAGTGTGGAAATAGCACGCCACTTATTCATTATTATAGCTGAACAGCAAGAGTGGCAGAAAAGCCCTTTTTTCTTATAGGCCCTTGAATGTTGTTTCTAACATCTGCTGTAGTGGTTACACATACATGATAGTAATAGTAGATGGCATTATTTCTTCCCACAGCCTACACTGAAATTAGAAGTGATAGAGCTCAAAGAATCTATTTTGATACATTAAACATAACTGACAACAATGTTATTTGATGATTAAATGTATAATATCTATGTTACAGGAAAATACATGAATTTAGACTTTCTCTAGGAATTCTAGGATACAGATACTGCCTTTGGGTTTTGGTAAAGAATTAAAAGGATTTTGCCAGTTATTTGCCATTGGTTATATAATCCCTGAGGATTCTGCAAAATGCTAGAAATTATGTAAGCAATGGAATTGCATGAAAGATGGGTTTTCAAGAAAATTGCAAAATTCACCAAGTTTTGCCAAATAACCTAGGAATTGCATATGTAATTTGAAAGTCTGGAGCAAAGACTCAAATGGCCAATGATGACTCTATAATATCCAGTGTTGCATGAGCTAACCAAAATGGCTTACACAACATGAAAAAAAAATAATATAAAAGGGTTGATTTCTAATTGAATAATAACTCTTAGATGTACACATTTGCACAACTGCTAGTGTTTATTGCCCTTGATATGGGGTTAACTATTACTATGTAAGCAGTATATGATTTCTATGTGCTTGTGATAGTTACATGCCATATAAATGAAAATATTTGTTTTGTTTTCAGTGCTATGCAACTTTTCATGCTAATTACATTCTCACTGGCTAAGGACCTTAGGGTGAGGTACTAGTTTATTCCTTTGTAGAAGTTTAATAAAGTACACTTTCCACTGAAAAATGTAGTTTGCTAAAATATGTTTCTAAAGTGGCCTCCAAGACAAGTCAGCTCTAATATCTAGTATCAACTTTTAGACGTAAAAGAGGCCACCCTTGGGACTAAAGAAGGCTGGAACTAGTGGCATTCAAAGAATGTCAACATCAGTCCTTCCTTTGCCAGAAGGGATCACTAGTTAGCAGTATCTTCCAGATGCTGCCTCTACACACCTTGCCAGACCCTGGGGCAATCCATTTGCTCAGGGTCTGAACTTGGCTCCTCTGTGGCAGCAGTACTAGCCGATACTCAAGCTTGGGTGAGTTCATGAACACAGCACTGATAATTTCTATATTTATAGAAAGCCAGAACATGTGTAGATAATCACACAATTGTATATTTATGAAGTGCCAGATTTTATGAATACGGGAATTTGTTAATTAGCACAAGGACTAATCATTAAAATTCAAAAATAGATAAATAAACAGGAATACCATTTATTTGTTCATATTTCAGGGAAAAATATGCAGCTGCTATTCCTTTGATGAATGTAGGCTTCTGGAGAAAAAAATGCGAAGAAGAAAAGTATCTAAAAGTCTTGAAATCTTAATGAGTAAAATCTAAGAAATCACTATATAGTCTTTTATTAAAAATGATCATAGTGATTCCCCTTAAGTTAAAAAAGTTTAAACCAACATGTGCTTAGCATTTGAATTACGTTGCCTTGCATTCCACTATTTTGGTCCCTTTCAAGGAATCAAAACTGATTTTCATCGGATAGGAGTTAAAAAGCACATAACAGGTCACTCAATACTAAATTGTTTTAGCTACAGGGCATGGCAAAGCATGAAATAACTGCTTTAGAACACTTCCTCATGTGGGTGTGTTAGATAACTGTCTGCTCCAACATTAAAACGAAACACACTGTGACCTGACCAAGACTTCAGGCTTTCAACAGGCAGATTTCATATGCTGATAGGAAAAGCCCACCATAACCAGTAAGGCTGGTTATTGAATTCTTCTGGCACTCTATAGCCCTCCTGTGATGCAAGCCTTTCAGCTTTCCAAATCCCTATATAGTAGAATACACTGGTTTTAAGTTTACTTATGCACATTTTATAATGTCCTGCTGTATTTAGATTGTGACAGTCCCTCCAAGAAAAGGCTGTGATTATTTTTCATACTAAAAATATTTTAGATCTACTGAAGGCTCAGAATTACAATGCAAAAGAAAATATATACACATTCTAAAAATCAAACCAACCATAAAAATGACTAAATGTTTACTTTTATTCTTTCTAGAAGGTTAAAGGAAATTTTCATCTTCTCTTAAAAACCTGTTTGTTTTTTTTGTTTGCTTCTAATTAACCTAAATATGCTTAACATAAAATTTTAAGATGTCGTATCCTCAAAGAATCTGTTTCCTTTATCCACACATGTATGAGAATATGTACATAAATATATACACACATGCACACAGGTATCTGCTCATATACATGTGTACAGAAAAAGAGATATATATAAGAGATATATAGTCAGGAGATAATAGTAAAGATTTCTTTTAAAAAGATTAGAATTTTAGGTAGTTCTCATAATATAATATAGAAAATGACAGGTGCATCAGACATGCACACTTTGACACTAGTTTTAAAACAAATGTTTGGGTCAAAAGTCTCAAATGCAAAAAAAATCACATTTGAAACACCATATATTGCATACCATATGAACATACACTTTTAGTAGGTTCCCCCAAAGTTCCCCTTTAGACCTTCAGGGTTAAAAAAATCCCTGACAGGACCTGACTGAGTGTCCTTAGCATCTGTACTACTCTTGGTCAAAGCTGGCCTTCCAGCTTAAAAGACAGTTTTTGTAATACATGCAAATTTTAAAAGTCATGAACAAATTTTTTAAAAGAAAGGGAAAAAACCTTTTAGTAGCAAAAGCTCACCACCTTTTTGGAATAATGGATTTTTAATAAACATTTTACTAGGTTTGAACATTGAGAATGTGTTTGGGAATCTGCTCCAGCATCCCAGGTGGGTTGAGAATATTGCTTTATGGGCTTCTTTGTGTTGTCAGAGAGGCCTAATGGAATTAAAAAAAAAAAAAGAAAAGAAAGTGCCACTTCTATTAAATAAATAATTTATTATGAAAAAGGTGATTATTACTATCAAAGATCTTTATAGATTAGCATCTATTTTCTATCATTGCTTACGTGTACGCTGACCTGACTTAATTTTTGTCAAAGGAATAACAGTTTTACTTTAGGACAAACCCAAATAAAACTCTACTAAGGAGACCATTTCAAATGGACCTATTTAACTACTTCTTTGAATCAAAGAAAACTGTTCTGGGAAAACTCTTCAACAATGTCAGCTAGTTGTGAAGGCAACTTTTCCCACCATAAAAAAGAAAAATAAATAATAAAGGAAAAAGAAAGCACCTCAAAACTATGCTTGAACTAACAAATACATTATTTATAGTTCCCGAAATGTTAAATGAATACTTACAGTTGTTGCACAAGATGGCCTGATACACTTCATAGCTTCCACTTTGTAAAAAGATGACCAGCCCCCGACTCCTCCCTCCCCAAGCATAATAAACAGTAACATACTAAAAGGAAACTGTCCCAGGATAAAAACTGCTTGTTAAGAAAGTCTGCATTCTTACTAACCACAGTGATAGCCCTATAAATGTAAAAGTTCAACTGCAAAATAAAAGTTACAAAACAGAATAACTTATTCCTTTCAAAATACATCCCCAGATGTAATATAGAAGGGTATGTAATAATAAAAATAATTACTAGATTTTTACCCACGCTTAGTGATAACCCCTCACCTTATGGCCAATGCCATCAAATAAATATACTGGCAAAAGGCATTTAAACTGCTTCAAGGATTTAAACTGTAAATATGGACTTTAAACTTCAATGTAAAACAAAGAACAAGAGTCTCACTTTAGTAATACCCACACTGTCACTGCAGCTAAAACTCATTGGCACATAACTAACAAAATCCAGTTTGCAATAAATAAGGACAACATGATATATAGACAGACAGATGGAATTGCATAAACAGACAAGAAAAGCAAAGAGACTGACAAACATACGGAGGGGTCTGTTTTAAAAGAGTGAAAGATACTGATTTATTTGGAACTTGAGTGAGAAAAATAGGTTTATTTGTAATTATTTCTAAAGTAATTAAACTAAATCACAAGGGCACACCCTTAAATAAGTAAGAAGAAAATTAGTAGAGGATAGGCCTCCTAGAGATATTCCAAATTTTAAGCTAGCAATAGCTCTGTCAAACTTGAATCTGGAAATAAACATTCAAGGGAGAAGGAATAAAAGGATGGGGGCTAAAGGAGGTGAGAGGCAGAGGGGGGCTGAGGGAGCGGGGTGTTTTTGAAAGTTGTCTGCCCTACCTTCTTCCCCAGCGCTGAGTTTCTCTTCTCATAATCGGTGTCTCCCTGGAAGTACAGTGTGAGTGGTAATGACTGCCTGCCTCCCTAATGAGTCCATTTTCCTGCTCTTGATGTTGTGTATATACACACACTGCAACCTACCTTACAAACCACAGAGACGGGAAGAGAGAGAGAGAGCAAGAGAGAGGGAGGGAGGGGGGGCAGGAGGGAGAGAGAGACAGAGACAGAGCAAGCGAGTGAGAGAGAGAGAAGAGGAGAGAGAGAAAGAAAAACAGAAAGAAACAGAGAGAGAAAGGCACAGACAAAGCCCTCCTACCAGACAGCAGACAGCCTTCCTTCCCCTATCCAGCAAAATGCAACTCGTCTAATGCAGCAACAGGTTCAGTATTGCCAGACTAACAGAGTGAAAAAGGTATAGTCTCTATAGCATTACTGCTGCAAATAAACAGTTTAAGAGCAGCTGGCTCCACCTTCTTTATTTATGCTCCATTATGAGGAATGTATTGTTTCAGTTCTGGCATACAGTACATGTAATTATCATAAATACATTTTTTGCATATAAGCAGGAAATAAGTGAAATACATAGCCTATTTGTGCAATCTTATAAATTTATTTTTTTAATGTGAAAAGAGTGTCAACAAATCTGCTCTGACAAAAGCCTAGTAATGATTTTAAAGTCAAAGCAGTCTTAAAGGAGGCTCTGAAAGAAACAGACTCCATACAATAGGAAAACTGATCTCAGACAAAACTGATAACTGCAAAGAAGAAATTATTGCTCAGTAAATAAATCAAGACCATAAGCAAAATTGCAGACAGAAAAAGAATTCAGTTGAATTAAGTAACTAATAGATTGGTACTCTGGAAAAAGGCAGATCGGTTTCTTATTTGAAGCATCTATCTGTTCAAACATCACAGTGCCATGTACTTTGTGTGAACAGGTGCACTGCATACAGTACATAGTGTTACAACAACAGAAATAAATCCCACAAGGAGCTTCCATCACTAGCAGGACAAAATTACATAGAATATGGATCTGAAACCACAGCAGAAACCCCTTGTTCTTTTATTAGGAGGAAAAAATAAAAATAATCAATGCTTCTAAATAAAGCTTTCTTAAAAGAAAAAAAAATGTTTTTCTTTGTCTGATGTCTCTAATCATTTTTTTTTTTCGCTACATGCTTGAACCAAAATAATGCTGATACTGCACTCCTTACCCCATCACATGTTTCCCCACACCTTCCCCCACTCCCAGGTGCCTTTTCTCCATAAGTGACACATTTGCAGTGATGGAATTACAAAGATCAGAAAACTGAGCTAGTTTCAAGCCCTTCTCCTTGTCTCCCAGTTTTTTAAACTAGACTCTGCCTATGTACCTAGATAGCCACCTTTCTTAAAATATTTCTGTACAGTTTGGCTGTGTGTCATTTAGATGGAACTTAGAAACAGTACAATAAAAGCTATATATTCTAAAGAAAAATTATATAAAAATGGAAAATATAACTGATTTGACCTATTCAAACTCTGCATTTAGGCACCAGTAATTAAGTATATTAATTGTAAAATCATCCTTTTTACTTGGTTTAGTGTTTTACCATTCTCTCAAAGTAGGATGTGTTCCTTTGCACAAAAAACTACTTCGCCATATAAGCATAAATTCCTTTGTTTAAAAGTACCTTTTTCTTACCCAAAGAGAATAAGAAGACAGTATTTGATTTCTACCAGCAGGAACCAAAAGGAATGTAAAGGACCATGAAGTCTATTCATCTTTTCTAAAGAACAACCAGTTAGTTGAATCAAAAAAGAAAAACAAATATTTTGGCTCAGTGAAAAATGCACAACATCTCAACAGTTTCTCCATATCTGCATACTTTACTAGATTCCAAGCACAATAAGTGACATATTCTTAGTACTTTCTAGAGTTCAAGATACATTTTCCCTGCTGGAACTGGTGACCCATGTATTAAATTAACCATTGCACCACATGAAACAATAATCCTAATTGACTATCAGGCTCTGAAGCTATAAAGTTATTAAATTAAATTGTTTCATATGTTGATATGCCATGGGGCAATTTCATCCTGTAGAAAGATTCTAAGTTGGGAGTTAAGAACTAGTTTTGGTCCCAGTGTTACTACGAATACTTTGTGTAAATACAGCAAGCCATGTAGCCATTCTCAGTTTCACATAAAAAAATAAATAAAATTTAAAAGGAAGGAATTTGCCAGGTTAACATAATTATGATAATAATGATAGCTAATGCTTAAGTCCTTACTATGTGCAAGGCACACCTATAAGTACTTTGCATTTATTAACTCACTAAATCCTAATAATGACCCTATGAGGTAGACATTATTTTCAGTTTCATTTCCCAGGTGAAGAAACAGAGAGGTTAAGTGATTTGCTCAAGATCACACAGCACAATAATAATGAGATCTGAATCCAGCCTGTCTAGTTTAGAGATCATGTGTTTAATTTCTATACCATATTGACTCCCAATATCTAATGCTAGCTCGAGCCTCATTTCCCAGAAGATTCTGTGGTTATGAGTCAAATCCAACATATCTTGACACTTCCTCTTACCTTGCTTACCAATATACCATGGTGCAAATTTTTCTTCTAATTTACACCCACAACTCTCAATACATTTGGTTTAAGTGTCTAGTAGTTCCAATCCCAAAGAAAGGCAAAGCCAAAGAATGCTCAAACTACCGCACAACTGCACTCATCTCACATGCTAGTAAAGTAATGCTCAAAATTCTCCAAGCCAGGCTTCAGCAATATGTGAACCAGGCACTTCCAGATGTTCAAGGTGGTTGGAACCAGAGATCAAATTGCCAACATCTGCTGGATCATCGAAAAAGCAAGAGAGTTCCAGAAAAACATCTATTTCTGCTTTATTGACTACGCCAAAGCCTTCATCTGGTGGATCACAATAAACTGTGGAAAATTCTGAAAGAGATGGGAATACCAGACCATCTGACCTGCCTCTTGAGAAACTTGTATGCAGGCCAGGAAGCAACAGTTGGAACTGGACATGGAACAACAGACTGGTTGCAAATAGGAAAAGGAGTACATCAAGGCTGTATATTGTCACCCTGCTTATTTAACTTATATGCAGAGTACATCATGAGAAACGCTGGGCTGGAGGAAGCACAAGCTGGAATCAAGATTGCCGGGAGAAATATCAATAACCTCAGATATGCAGATGACACCACGAAGAAAGTGAAGAAGAACTAAAGAGCCTCTNCAAAGAGTTGGACATGACTGAGCAACTGAACTGAACTGAACTCTATTTTAAAAAGTTACATAATCCATTTACTCACCTTTCTTTGTTTCCCAATGTCCATAGTATACGCAACCATTTACTTGAAGTGGAAAATATAATAATTTGTAACCAATAAGGCTATCAATTCATAAAGCCCAATGGCAACCCACTCCAGTGGGTTTTCTTACCTAGAAAATCCCATGGACAGAAGGAGCCTAGTGGGCTAGAGACACAGGGTTGCAAAAAAGTCAAACATAACTTGGTGACTACACAACAAGAAGTAGCATTATATGTAGTTCCCATACACTATTCTCCTGAATGCCCTGTGTTTAAAACAGAAAAAAAAGAAAGAAACTACACAGTTCTTAAAGTTTCCCTATTTCGAATATCTGGAGAAGGCAATGGCACCCCACTCCAGTACTCTTGCCTGGAAAATCCCATGGACGGAGGAGCCTGGTAGGCTGCAGTCCATGGGGTCACGAAGAGTCAGACACGACTGAGCAACTTGACTTTCACTTTTCACTTTCATGCATTGGAGAAGGAAATGGCAACCCACTCCAGTGTTCTTGCCTGGAGAATCCCAGGGATGGGGTCGCAGAAAGTCGGACACGACTGAAGTGACTTAGCAGTAGCAGTTCAAATATCAAATACTAAAGCAAGTGATTGTTTAAATAATTAAATAAATAATAATATAAAATATAATTTAAAAATTCTTGTTTTCTGTAGCTTGAGAAAGGCATGAAAAGCAAGGATTTAATTATAAATGATTTGTAAGAGATGCTGAATAATATCCTATGATTTTATGTAGTTGGTTTTAACTTTGAACTATTTAGAGATATATTCTGAAGACTTTTATACTAACGTCATAGTCTGCAAGAGAGAATTTAACCACTCTGATCTTTGTGTGTTCACTAATCATGTATTTTGTGCCCAAATATGTGCCATACTACTATACTTGAGAATGAAAAATGAAGATAAAACGTGTAATATAGTTTCTGCTTGTGAGGATTTCACAGGCTGGTGGGGGACAGACACGTAAATAATATTAGAACAAGCAGATAATCTTGCCACTACTTCCTGTAATATCGCAAGTAATGCAGTGCCTTAAACTTCCTGAATGTTCCTCAAAAAACTAAAAGTGATATTAAACAAAACAAGCATATATACCTAAATTTAAAATATGCCTCATGAAAGATGTGTATGTGTGTGTGTGTATTGCAGGGGGAGGTACTGAGGTTAGACTGAAGATAGCTTTTTCTCCAACAGTGTGGTTTATAGACTCATTAAGTAAATTTTTTCCATTGTCCCCAAGGTGCATAGTAAAGAGTCTTCTACAAGTACACAGTACATATACTTCTTAAATGATGTGGAAATCAGTGATACCTATTGCCCTGAAGCATCAAATGCCATTAGTTTTAGGGTTACAGTGTATTTTGATCAGAGATTGTTGACTTAGCAAATGAATTCTTCCAAAAGTAAATGAGATTTTTTAAAATTTTGAAAACAAATCAACTAAATTAAAAAATATCTGAATATATACCCTTAACCCAGGTATGCTTTTGCCAAGTCCTTTCTCAGTGATCATTAATGTTTTTATACTATGTGAAGCTAAACAGGAAAAAAATTTGGAATAGCTTAAGATTGTTTACAAGAACATTCCCAAAAGATACATTTATTGCCCAGATTAAAAAACAAAAAGAAGAGGGAGGAGTGAAAATATGAGTCATGTTGCAATGATGGACATTTTACTTATCCGTTATTTCTTTCACATCTACAACTTATGTTCTAGTATAAGTCTGAAACTGGCCTTAGAGTTCCTTGTAGGAATGGAACCATATCCTTTAAGAAAAATAGCTTTGAAGCTGGTTAGGGTCAAAGAGTGAGAACTGAACAAT